CAATTCAGTGTCTTGCAGACTTTGGAAAATAAATATTTGCTTCTCTGTATGACTAAATGGTAGAGAAATATTTTTCCTTTTAAGAACAGAATACACTGAAGTTACCTTGTCTGTTTGAAAAAATCTTCAAAGAAAAATATGCACCTATGGTGCTAACACTAAACACAAGAACAAGCATATATTTATGTAAACTACTGCTAAAAACTGTTTTCTTTTCCACCTCAAAATACATGATGAAAGAGGGTTTTTTTAATGTTTTTTCAATCTTTTACTAGAAAGTTTATATATTCAAAGCAAACAAGTGCAAGTTTTAAATATTCTAAAAGAGAAAGAAGATCACATAATTTAGTCTTTATTTTCATTGGTACTTTATGTATACTTTTATTGTCAAACAGATTAGAAACTGTCAGTTAACTTACATATCTTATAATTTACACAATATTTTCAAAAATATTAAAGTTGCTGCTACATTTTCCCTATTTTCCCTGCTAATTCATGTGGTGTTTCAAATTAACAGTTACATATAAGCAAACATATTTAAAATTATGGCTTGAATAGATATGCTTGATTTCAAATAATTTATTTCATAGCAAAAAAGTAAAAAATTAAAGCTGAAAAAAACCCAATTTTATCTAGCTTAAAATAATTCTCCTTCTTTTAACATTTTCTTTATTAAAATCTGCTCCCAAATTTTGGCTGCAGATTTAGTTCAACAGAAGAGGAAATGCATGATTTTATGATGCACTCCACTTAACTATTCCCTTAAATTTGTTGGGAATTAGGATTCTCTGGCAGCTGATTTTAATAAGATCATTGTAATTAGCAACTTTCTTAATTTCTAATACTTTACTTATAATTATATGATATTGTTACTTCTTAAATGAAAGCCTGGAATAATTACACGCAACATTTATTATTCAATAGACTTTGTAAAGCCATGTCATGAATACCAAATATGTATGCAAAAGGTCAGACAGAGTAATGCTTGCTGTAGATATAAGCATGTGTCTGTATTTATTTTTGTTTTCTGATCCTTCTAGAATTATTGATATTCATAGTTAATTCCAGTAAAATTTTAAAACTTTTTCTGATACAAAGGGAACATCTTTAAGAAAAGCTGAGCTTTTAACTCAATCACATTTACAAAAAATCTGTGGGGTTTTCAGCAGAATGCCAGCTGTCTGCATGTCATATCAGGTGTCTTTACCCAACAAGAAAGATATGAGTTTTGTTTCCTATTTAGAAAACTATTTTTCTGTTTTACAATAAAAATTCAGTCACACATGTTCAGAAAAATGAGATTACTTTCTCTGGGAAGTATATACTGGTAACTAAATCTCTAGTCAGTTACTGTAAAATCCACTGTGTGGAAGCTAGATTTTCTCATTTTGGCTTTTTGACTTGATAATTCTTGGTGTACAATGGTCTCTTTTGCATGGAAGAGGAATAATGAGTGTGCTCGTACAGAAAAAGGTCGGTAGTGTGAGGTTTATAAGCTGAGGTACATTCAGATGCCTACTCCTTTGCTCTGAAATCCAACTGTTAAATTTTACCACATAAATCCCTCCAAAACAGAGTTTGTTGTATGCTTTTAGCGCAAACAGTACTTCTTCCACACAGTATATTCAGATATTTCACTAGATCTAGTATTTCCTGTGTACATCCTGCTGAGCATGCAAGCAAATGAAATCCTGTTAATGCAGTCCAAATGCACATGGAAAAATATACTTTCTTAACAAGGTCTTTGAATCCCCCATGATGACCTTTTAAGAAGCCTGTCTCTCTCCACTGACTATATGGAAGGAAAGCTTGGAGTGGCAAAGCAATGGACATAAATTTGTGAAAAATGGGAAGTGGAAGCTTGTGAACAAAAATTAAGTATTCAGAAGATAGTTCAATAACAGTAAAATAAAATCCTTTGTCATTTTTTCAAAGTGGATTTTTTGAGTTTGGCTGTTAAGAATTAACCTTTCAGAGTATTCAGAATTTCAATAGCATTTTTGTATTCAAAACAAAATCCTAATTGATTTCATTTCTACTTCTAAGTACTCAGGTCATTGTCTATGCGATTCTACTAAGCAAACACAATGTTCTGGCAAAAAGAAAGTGACAAATGTTTTGTAAGTAGTCAACATATGACCATTTTAAGTAAAGTATGCTGCTTAAGTAGTTAAACTGACCATTACTTTGGAATTGTAAAACACAGAGACACAGAGCATCTCATTAACACTAACATTCAGCTTAATTAACTGCAGGAATATTCTGACTTTTCCAGTTGCCCAACTTATTCCGCAATCAAATTTTGAAACAGATTTACATAATAACACTTCGTATGGCCAGTATGTAAAAAGTGCATAAAAATGTGAGCTATAAAGTGTCTGATTAAGTAAAGAATGTTGAATGATTTACAGAAAAGTTGTCAGCATTTCTTATATTACAAAACAATAAGCAGTAAGATTATACTATTCTGTGCATATCTGTCTTCTATCCTTAAAGTTTTCAGATAAGAACCTGATCTGAGCTGCCTCTAATAACCATAATAAGTTAATACAGATCAAAAGAAACCAAAATACTACTCTGGATTGGTTTTGCTACCAAATAAAAAAGTGAATAAATCTAAGGTATAAGTATATTCTCATGGGCAGTTATGAAAATATTGGATATTTTTAGATATATCTTACAAATAGAGTTATTTTAAAGTCTGGATTCAAATATTTCCAAGGATTCAGCAACACACTGTAAGGAAATGTAGTAAAATGTTTTAGTGATCAATAAATTATTTCTTCTGGTAGGAACAAGGTTTTTGCATTCAGTTATGATTTCCTTTTACTGTGTTTTTTGCTATTCTGTAAACAATTGTTGTCTGCTACCAAAAATTTAAAATTACCGATAGTTGCTGAAGCTGAGAGAAGTCATTAATCATTGTCTCTGTCATATTAATAATGCACACACATATGTTCATTACATTCCATTCTCAACATCCATAGTGAAGTCCCAAATACCTTAGCATATTAGCCTAGATAATCTTAGCATCTGTTCAGTTGGGTTTTTTTGTAACTAATTAACTAACTAAATAAGCCCCCCATACACATTGAGGTAGTATTTTATACCATATTTCATTGTAATTCTATCAGTTTCAATGCAGCTGCAGAAATACAAACTGCAGAATGGAGGAATCTGATTTCTACTATGCAAATTTTATAGTGTAGGTGAGACTGGTTTTTAGGAGCTAAATTCAGCTCTCAAACTGTTTCTGCTGGCTCTGTAACTGAGAGCTAATTAACTTTTATCATCTTTCTTATATCTCTATAAAAGTTCTGTTTTTCTTGAGGTAAATCACACAAAAGTGGAAAGCAATGATAACACAGTCAAAATATAACATATCACAGCTACGTAATTACAAAGCTCCTAAATTGGAAGAAAAAGCAATAAAGGAAAACAAGTGAAAACATCTATTCTGTGCCACCATATCCTAAAGAAGAATGGGATTTGTCATCTTTGAAATAAGGTCTTGATCATCCAGGAAAGAGAATGGTCCAGTTGGAATCAGTAACAGACATCCACTACTTCTCTACAACAAATTTAATTTTTCCCCAGTTATTATGATGGCAGTACTTCTAAGAAAAACACTCTCTCTTAAATGAACATTACAACAGTCAGCACTGGAAGATTGCTAAGCAGATTATAAGTGACACTAACAGACACAATTATTACATCAATGAAGTATTTTTTATCTCTCATTACCTATCAAAAAGACCTTCCAAAAAAGGGAATCTTTCCCCTATTGTACACAACAATCTTCCTCACCAACTCCTCTCTAAAAAACAACATTCATCCCTCATTTTAAAATGAGGAAAAATATTTGACTTCTAATGCAGAGAGTTTAGAAGTTTGGACACCCCTCCAAACATTTGCAAGGGCCAGTGCCCCAATTTCATGCCACAGAGTTTTGGAATTCAGTGTCATTATGGTTTTGGTAGATAATGAAAATACTGAACAACTTCAAATGCTTAAAATATTGGATAGTCTTTAGATTTGAGAATTTTTTTATTTTTTTTTTTTGTGGTTGTTTAGCTGGTACTCTGCCATCCACTTTGTAATAGAAATTTACATACACAACAAAGAAAATCCATATTGTATTAAAAATATGCATTTGTTCAAATTGGAAATGGATTTAACAGGTGTTTTGTCTTCAAATTGTGAAAAATAATGGAAAGTAACATTATAATTGAATTTTATTTTAACTTATGAAGCAAATGTTAGTTTTCTCATATTAATATTTGCATATATGGGAGAGGTTGTGTGCTCAATCTCACAGATTATGTGACTTTTCACAAAGTTAAAATTGCATGTGGTATCAATTTCTGTTAAGAAATCAGTAAAATCAAACGTTAATCTTTTAGATTCTTAGCCTTTAAATCTGTAAATGCTGATGCTTGAGACTGTCAGTGGTCATACAACTGAAGTCTGAAAAATCTTGAAATGAGCAGAATTCATATCTGTAAAAGTCTGAGTAATTGTATCTTTCCTGCACTTCAAGGCTTAACTTTTCCATAGACCACATGCCCAAGAAATCTTGTAATGTGGTATATACAAAATATTTTATCTGCATGTTTTCAAAACTAGTAGTAACAAAAAGAAACAAACAAACATATTATAACATCCAAAGTATACTCACAATTGTATTTAAATACACATATATGGTATATATCTCTATATTCTGCTGTATGTCTGTTCAAGAATACATGTTGACATGGAGAATGGCATTACTACTAAGCTCTGCTCACCATAATAACACTATTTATCCAATGTTAATAAAAACTGGAATCAATTGTTTCCTGAGTCATCACAAATGCATTTGATTACATATATAATTGAAAAGGATATTTTCTGAAAGAGAATATTATTAAAATCACTTCCAATTTTTAACTTGTTTCTTCCCTATTACAAAGCAAGAGTAATGACAATGGCAACTAAAATAAATGAAAAATTGTTGTTACCATGACAGCTGGGCAGGGCTCTGTTCCATCCAGGTCTTCCATCATCTCCCATGATACATGTTAATGTAGAGTATCCTTGAAGAACATACCCTGCATCGCAGTAATATGTAACAGTGGAACCCAGTTTATAATCCATTCCAAGTCTTGTTCCATTCATTATATTTCCAGGATCAAAACAAGACTCACGAAGTTTTGCTGTACAGGAAACAAATGCAAATATAATTCTAAATATAATCAAAAATTAATAAATAATAACTACAAATAAATGAAAAATTCTAAATATTTCCTGGAGTTCCCTTGAGGCTTTCTTTGAGCACCCTGTAGAACCTGGGGATTTTTTTAAGAAGACTTTCCATCAAATGTTTTCTTTCCTTCATTTTAACAACTACAAATTACTATATAATAACAGAAACTATGTCTTCTGTCTTTTTTTTGAGATAATTTCTATATTGCTCCATCTTTTTTTCCAGAATTCATTCTGATCAATGATAAATTTATGTAGTTACATTAAGTTACATATATGGACATCTTTCCAGCAGATAAGGCATATCCTAGTTTTAAAATCTGAAAAAAATAGTAAATGGACAAAGTCAATATGAACAATGTTTCTTAATAAGAAGTATGCAAACAAGAACATCTTCAAAATTAATGAACTTCAAATGAGTTTCTATATGTATATAATATGATGGTATATTTTCATATCCCTCAGCGGAGGAAAAAATATAAAAACATTCCCTAAATGTATCTCATTTTTTACCATTTATAGGCATTTGTTTCAAAATATTGAAGTAAATTCAAACATATACATACGCTTCTATATTTCCTTCCCTTTTACTTCTATAATGTGAATACCAATGTCCAGTAACAGATTAAACAAAAATAAATGCTCAAAATCTCTAATTAACAGCATTATTATGCAGACTGTGCAAAAAGTAAAACAATTCAGAAATAATGTAGTTTCCTTTAAGGAAAAAGGAGTAAATGTATTATGTAGAAGTTGGGGTAAAGCAAATTATTTTGTGCTGTGCAGGATGGAGTCTGCAATAATATATTTTATCAAGCAGAAGATAGAAATTTCAGACTTCTTTAACATTTAATGGTGTTGTGGGGAAAATCAATAGTGAACACTTCATTTTCTACAAGACTGGTGCCAGCTTTCAAATACATTAAAAAAAAAGTTTTTTTCCCAGGAATATTTGCACTGTGTAACTTTCTGCTACAGGTAGGTATGGTGGCCAAAATACTATATGAGCTTTGAACTTCCTGGTAGGCTTTTTAAGAGTTTTTTTATATAAAAAGAAACTTTAACTTATCCTGTCAGTACCTAAACTGAAGTTTCTGAAAAATTACAGACAAGTGGGAGGAACAATTATTGTTCATTTGACTTTAATATAGTTTGGCCACACAAACTATTGGTCACTACCAGAGCCAAGCTAATGAACTAAATCCATCCCTTTAAGGCCACTTTTATGTTGTAGTATGTCTGAGATTGTATTTATATTCTAAGAAGGAAACACAGAGTAATTATTTTGAATTTTCAATTTCACATCTTCTGAAAGAATGTCGTGATCTCCTAATGTGTTTAAAAATTTACTATGATTTGCATACATAGTATGCCACAGAGCATGGTTCTGATACGAAAAACAACACAATAAAAAAATAATTACAATACATCTTTAATCATTAACAACAGGTGTTAAGTATTCACGTTAATTCATATAAGTGATTGTAATGTGTTGTCTAAAACTTATTTAAAACTCATTTGAAAATTTGGATGGACAATGAAAAGTCAAAAGATGCAATTTACTAGAAAGTCCGTAAGGTATCACAGATATTAATATTTGTTATGTAAGCCAACCACACTTTCATTTGAGAAGTGTGGCAGGTTTTAGGCTAAATTTCAAGTCTAAATTATCAAAATTAGGGGGAAAAAAAGGATAATTTAATTTGTGATTATAACAAATATTTTTAAAAATTAATACAATATCATTTTTTTCTCTCGTTGAACGAATATTGATATAAATGTACTGATTCCTAATTGCTATTGTGAGATTACCATTCTTGAGTTTATGACAGAAATAATTCAAAATGTTTCAAACGCACTCTTGAAGGTACACAGATAAAGAAGATATTAGTACTAGATAAAAAATAAAGAGAGAAAAATTAAAGTAATCTATTATGTCCGGTGCATAAATCAAAAATTGAGAAAAGAATGATCTGTCACAGCACAAATTATCTCTAGGGAAAAAATACAGTCCTGTAATTTTCTTTTCCCCAAAATTATAGTTGTGACAGGCTCCTGAAATTGCTGACTAAACAGTAACAATGTCAGTATAGAAATACAGTTTCATAATAACGATTCTGAAAAATAAAGCCTGAAATACTAAACACCTTTAAACTAGTTTTGCAAATCTGTAGGAACTGCTAAGTGAACTTATAGAAAAAGATAGAATATGCTACAATATATGAAGAACAAATCAAATGAGACAAAAGGATTCTTCAGATCTGGCTGAGAACCAGTGTAAAAAAGAACAAGAAGACTGTTTCAGCAAATTTAAAAGTGCTGTTAGAAGAGACAGGAGGGAAAGTTCTTCAACACTGATGTCATGTTGCTCCAACTGAGGAACACAAGACATTGATTACCCCTGTAGCCCCTCCCCTTTTTTTCCTAAGAATATTAGTATAAGCTAAAACCACAAGATTTAGCAGAACACCAGAGAAAAAGCTGTATTATTACAAAGATTTTTTTCAGTAAAAGCATTTAAAAAATTATTTTCTGTAATAAGAACACAGGAAATAATTTTTTTCATTAGGCAGTTCAGATTTGTAACACTACATACAGTAACAGTAACAGTACACTGTTGACTGTGTAAACCAGGTGTCAATTCCTTCTGTACATAATATAATTTTGGAACAAGTTTCAAAGAAACCAGCATTTACTTCTTTGATAACACTGTCAAACCACTGGATCAAGTAAGGCTCTGAAATACAGGCTGAAAACAGAGACACGTGCTCTTCCAATCTTAAGTGCAACAAGGAAGTTGAATAACATGGAGTAATGATGCCAAAATCCCCCTAAAAACTAGTATCTCAGTGCATGAAAAGCAGTGCTGAAAGTCAAGAGAAGCAAGTGCTATGTCCAGATTGTGATGACTTACCATTCCATCCCTAAATTTCAAAGAGCATAAAGCCATAATAAACTTCTTGGAGATAATATTACAGACATACCAAACTATAGCAAGCATTCCATAATTACTCTTCAGAGTTCTTAATAGAACTAATAAGCTTTTCCTCCATTATAACATAAAAATGAAGTGAGGGAGAGAGAATGGGAATAGAACTCAACCAGAGACGTGATTACAGATCAGACCTGGGACACGGGTCAGTCTGAGATTTGGATCTGAAAAATATGGCCCACCAATGAAGTATAATTTGAGTACACTGTCACTTAAAATAGGATTAGTGTACATGTAGGGCACAACTACATCAGTTACAGCTCATATGAAAAATTTAAGTTCATCAAATCAGAAAAATTTAAGTGGAAGGAGATGTAGTACAACTCCCTTGCAAATCAGGGCCAATTACAATTAGTTTACTTAGGCCTAAGTACAGTCCAGCTATGATTTTAAAGGATTCCAATGACATCATCTAAGAGCAAGCAGTTCCAATGTTTAACTTCAGAGTGATTAATTTTTTTCTTGATATGTAATTGAAATTTCTCTTATGTCAACTTGTCAATCCATTAGCTCTCAGCTTATCACTATGAGCACCTGAGAAGACTTTGGCTCTGTCTTTTCAACATGCCAATGCAACACTTGCTCCTGAGGTAGCTGGAACAAACCCAGTTGGGACAGCTGATGCCAAATGACCAAAGCTGGATCATACCATACGGTATGGGGTCCATATCATATGATGCCATGCCCAGCATATAAACTTTGGGAAGAAGAAGGAAGGGAGGGACATTTGAAGTTAGGCATTTCTCTTCCCTGGTCATCACCACATGTGATGGAGCCCTGCTTTCCTGGAGGTGGCTGAACATCTGCCTGCCCATGGGAATGAATTCCTTACTTCACTCTGCATGTGTGCATGGCTCTTGCTTTCTACATTAAACTTTATCTCAACCCATGAATTTTCTCACTTTTACTCTTCCCCCATCCTGCTGGAAACTGCAGTGGCCATTTGCCTGGGAAAACACACTTTTGTGATTTTTTTTCCTTGCAACTCACATTCCCATGTATCTAGGACTGAGGCTGCTATTCTATCTCACTTTCTCATGTTCTCTCCACATCCAGTTTATCCACTGACTGTCCCTCTGTATCTTCCCAGGTCTTTACTGCCAATGAGGTGACATTGGATGTACTCTGTAGAAACCTACAGCATATAGATCACTTGCATAAGATTTCTGTATCGTTGGATAACTGCTCATTATTGAGGTCATTATAAATGACTTGCGTGGCTAATTCCTTCACGTACTGGATACCTCTCCTCATGGTGGTCCATTTGCCTGAATGGATTATAACATCTTCTTAGAAGGGATACCTTTTTCTCATGCCTGGATGGAGTCACCTTCAGAGGCTGATGGCTTCTGTCCAATTTTCAATCAGTTTGTCAATGTCCCGTTCCCTAGAAAGGGATCCCTAGGTGCTGGACTTTTCCCTCTAATTCCAGATTACTGACCCTGTTAACCCAGCACTGGCACAGCCAAGGTGACTGTTGATTGTATGGTCACTGACTTGTTTATGACTTCTTCCTCCTCTTCCTCTTGGGATGGCCCTTTGGAGTAGCCCTCTTCATCCACTTCCTCCTCTTCTTCCTTCTTATATGCTTGTGTATAGGGATGTTTTCTGTTTGTGTGTAGGGGTGACTGATACCAGCATGGATTGTTTCTCTGGTTCAGTTGCAAGGCCTGTCATGGCAGCTGGAGTAGCCCGAGTTCCCACTGTTTTGTTATCAGATCCAAAGGCCTCTTCCACTTGAGAACAGTGAATTATGTTGAATAGGGCTTGGTAGATCTGGGCCAGGTCCCAGCACATTGCAATGATTTGTGTCTCTCTGGAATTTCTAGTGTGACAAGACACTTTTCTCAAATACTTCAGTAGTTTTTCAGCGTTCTGCACTTGTTCAGGGCTGAACTACCAAAACATTGGAGGTACTCACTCTCCTTGGTACTTGCCCACACTTTCCTCTGCACCTTATAACTTGTAAGTATCCAGCTTCAGGGCAGATCTCTGGGCAGTATTTTTAAATAATCGTTTAACCTCAAACAAAACCTGAAACTTGCAGGAGACATAGCAATATGAATATGCTGGTTTGAACATCTTAAGAATATTCAAAATTCTCAAGAGCTATTGAAATTAGCCTGGAGGATGATGAAAAGTTGAAGGGGAAAGGAAAGGTGAAGGAGTGGGGCAAGTGCTCCTCATCTGCCCCACAGATTGGCTCTGAGGAGGAAAGATAAAGGTTGTGATTGTTAATAGTTTTCAAGAAGTGGTTCCCTAAAAGTACATCTATAACAACAATACTGAGTAAAAATACCAGATTAGTCTCACAAACAGGAATTATTTTATCATATCTTGAGCCAGTGTTACACAGTCCATCAAAATTATATCCTTAATCCAGTCCCCAGAGGTAACAAAAGAGCATATATAGAAAGTTTGTTACATAACCCAGTTCTCAGAACAAGGACAACAACTCTGACTCCAAATAAATCAACATTGTGACCAGTGACTATTAAATTAACATAATGGATGATTAAAACAATTGTTTTAACACACTCTGGTCAGACCTGCAGTCAACTTGCCAGAAAGGACTGTTGAGTTTCAGCCCCAGTCAGCAACTAAGGACCACACAGCTGCTCACTCAGTGGGATCCACAGTGGTATAGGGGAAGAACTGGAAAGGTTAAATTTGCAGTCATTTGTAGACTTTAATAATTTAATACTTTAATAATTTAAATAAAATGTAATAATAACGACAACAATAATAGAAACAATAATAAATTGTAATGGAAAAGAAAATTTTAAAGATGACACAGACATAAAACCCCAGAAAAACAAGTTATGTGAAGGAAAAACAGTTTCTCATGACCAACTGACTGATGCCCAGCTGGCACCTAAGTAGGCTCCCCCAGGCCAGAATATCACTTTGGAAAGCTGGGGTCAGCTGTTGCAGCTGTGCTCCCTCCCAGTTTCTTCTGCTTCCCCAGATTCCTCACCAGCAAAGCAGTTTGAGAAGCTAAATCCTTGACTTAGTCTAAGTACTGGTCAGTGACAACCAAAACAGCATGTTTTCCACATTATTCTCATACTAAATCCAAAACACATCACTATACCAGCTGCTAAGAAGAAAAGTAACTTTAACTCAGCTGAAAACAGAACTCTTTGTTCCGGGGTCCTGCCAGTCTGATTCTACCTCTTAAGATCCTTTGAGTAGCGCTGGCATATCCCTCCAAACTGATGTCCACAAATTTGGTCTGTCCCATCATACAGGTTGTCAACAAAGAACACTGGCTACATTATTAATCACAATTAATACCAGCAAGGAGTCTCAGCTCAGCAGTTAAACTGATTTTCCACACATGTTTTTATAGAATAATAATAGAACAGAACCAAAGAATCATAGAATCATTTAGGCTAGAAAAGACCTCTAATATTGTTGAGCCCATCTGCAAAATGAGTTGAGCACTGCCAAATCCACCACCAAACCATGTCCCTCAGTGCCACATCTACACACTTTAAAATACTTCCAGGGATGTTGAAGTCTACCACTTCCCTGGCAGCCTGTTCAATGACTGACAATCCCTCTCAGTGAAGACTCCCATTCTTAAAATTCAGTCTAAACCTTCTCTGGTGTAACTTAAGCCCATTTCCTCTTGTTCTATTGCTTGTTACTTGTGAGAAGAGGCTAACCCTCCCATCACTACAATCTCCTCTCAGGTAGTTGCAGAGAATGCAAGGTCTCCTTCCTTTTCTCCAGACTAAACAACACAGCTCCCTAGCAACTCCTCATAAAACCTGTACTCTGGACCCCTAACCCTCTCCATTGTCCTCTCTGCATGCTCTAGCACCTCAACATCTTCCCTGTAGTGAGGGGCCCAAAACTGAACACAAGACTCAAGGAATGGCCACAGAGTAAGAGTTCTTATGACACACCTAGGTTAAGCAGTGCAGAGGAACATTTATCAGAAATTCCCAGTAAAAATGGGACAGTTCACTAAGCAAGCTGACGATCTTTTAAGGGATTTTGAGCTGTCCAAATCTCATAATCCTTGAAATTTTTATGTGAATTGAAATAGTTCTGTTTATGTCTCCTTTTATTTATTTATTTTATTTTTTAAAGAAGATGTTGAAATGCATTTTCCAGATATTCTGAGAAAAGCAGGAGATACAAACCTCTCAGGTGAAGAGGGAAAATTAGGATTAGGTTGATTCCATTTTCCAACTTCCCTCACCTACATATACACACATAAGCACATACCTGCATCCTCCCATTACTTAGATTTTCAGTCCCTTTAAAAATGTGAAGATAGCTACAGCATTTTTCTGTCACTGTGACTCCTTGAAGCAGAGAAAGACATCGTGGCACACATGGGCTATCAGTAGTGTTAGAAATAGTATTCTGCCTCGATTACAAAGTGTCCTGTCCCTCTGTTAAAGGGGATTTGGGGAGGATTCTCTTTGATAGATTTCTCAGATGAAAATAAAGTGCAAGCTCTTATTATATCCGAGAACTTTCTATCGATAGAGCAAGGTAAGCGCTCCGACGGAAGTGGGATAGAAAAGGGAGCGAAGAGGGGAAAAGAGAGACGGAGAAACAGAACACCGGGACAGATCGCCGGCGCTGGAGCGCGCTCGGCAGCCGGAGCGTGTGCCGCAAGCTGCGGTGAGCTCCCGGGCCGGCCGCGCTTCCCGAGCAGCAGCAGCGGCACCGGGGGCGCTTCCCGAGCAGCAGCAGCAGCAGCAGCAGCAATAGCAGCAGCAGCAGCAGCACCGGGGGCGCTTCCCGGGCAGCAGCAGCAGCAGCACCGGGGGCGCTTCCCGAGCAGCAGCAGCAGCAGCAATAGCAGCAGAAATGTGCTTCCCGCTGGTGAAGAACAGGCTGCCGCGGCCACGGGCGCACCCTGCAGCAGCTGCGGTTCTCAGGGCCGGGGCTCGGGCAGGGCGGCGGCTCCGTGGGGACTCGGCGGAGCGCTGGGCTGCCGTGGGGTCGGGCTGCCTCGGGGAAGAGGCGAAGCGGGGCAGGACAGACAGCCAGGGAGGAAGCAGGACCGCAGGGAGAAAAAGGCAGGGGGGAGAAAAGGCGGGGGAGCGGGGCCAAGATGACGCTCCAAGCGATCCCCGCTCCCTCCAAGAAACCCAGAAAAAGTGTCCCCCGGCAATGTTGCACTTAACTGCGTTTATGTGCCCAGGCTCCTCCCATAGCCTGATTTCCCAGGCATTTTTCCCCGGGCATCCAGGGATCTGTCCCCCGGCAGGAGGGGTCGCTTCCAGCCTGAAGGTTGGAACCGAGCATTGCCCTGCTCGGCTGCCAGGCGAAGCCTCCCCGGGGACAAGGCTCCCAGCACGGCTACAGCCCCCAGAGTAACTTCTCACCTCATGTATAACACATCTTGAGGCATAAATCAAAATTACATTGGTCCCTTTCACAAACTACAGCTGTTCACTTCTTTGTTTAAACCTAGATCAAGAATTCGAAGAGACTGCCTCCCCAATAAATATCCTTCACACCGGGACTGGTGGAAAGCAAACACTTGGATTCCATGGCATAAGACTTCATTCAACAGCACAGAAGGAAAAGATTGGACTCTTTAAAAATAATTTATTTTCTTATTCTTCAGAAGTTCTGCGATCCTGCATAATTTCCTATAGCACTTCCATTTACATTTATTACTTTTGAATTTAGTTGAAAAGATGAAATATATTTAAGTGAACTGAAACACTTCATACATCTGGGCTCACCATAAAAATGGCTGAGACCCACTTATAACTTTTCAGGACTAGCTCATACTGTGGAGAAAACTTCCTTGACGTTTATGGGGCCCTATGACTGTAGCAAAGTGTAAGGAGGCTTCATGGGCTTTACAAAGCAATAAATTATTCTTTCCTTTCTATACCTTCACACTTACTAATTGCTCTCAGAATAAATGGGAAGAAAGAAAGTCTATACTAGCCCTATTTTCTTTCCAGTTGTCTTTACAGAATATTTTTATATTTATTTAATAGCAAATATTTCTGTTTCTCAAGCGATGCAGAGGCAGTTACACAAGTTCCTATTAATTATATATTTTGCAAGTCTGTATTTTCTTGTTTACTGTGCTATGATGTCAGAGAGATTGGAGACAGGTGGACAGCTCTACTGTGGTCCATCATATCAAGGTCTAGCCAAAATAGGTTTTTATTTTCAGTAGGACTCCTGAATTCTAGCATGCCATTTCATCTTACAGGACCTTAAATGCACCTAAATCAACATGACCTGCTATGTAAAATAAAAAATAAATTAAATTCTGGATAAAATATATATATATATATATATATATATATATATGCTGTTAAGTTATTCCACTGCACCATCATTTTTAAAACCTGTAAACTGCTGTCTCAAATTGTTTCACATAACCATAGACTCATGGAACAATTTAGGTTGGAAGGGTCCTTAAAGATCATCTAGCTCCAAATGCTCCTGCCATAAGCAAGGAAACTTCCACTAGACCAGGTTGCTCTGAGCTGCATCCATCCTGGTTTTGAACACCTCCCGGGATTGGGAGTCCACAACGTCTCTGGGCACCTTGTTCCAGTGTCTCACCACCCTGGCAACAAATTTCTTCTTAATATCTACTCTAAATCTGCCCTCCTACAGCTAAAGGCCATTCCCCGTTGTCCTATCACTACATGCCCTCATGAAAAATGACTGTCCAGCCTTCTTGTAACCCTGCTTCAAACACTGAAAGGAATCATATGTTCAACATTACAGGTAAACAAAATCATACTAGAAACTTTATTTTAAGTTAGCAATCTTATAGCATTATACTTGTATGAATAGTTTATTCACATTGTCATACTCTGAGGCAAAACAAAAACATTACCAGGCAGCAAATTGTGAGAAATTAAACCCAAATTTGCACTTATGCATTAAACTTTGTAAATATGCAAGACAGTATTTTTATTTACCTTTGTACTCCAGGTGGAATCCAGTAAAACTAACAGATCCATCACTCCGAAAAGCCAGATGCATGGTATTCGAACTGCTCTCTATCCTCTCTGGCAGTTTGCTATCTTGAAAGCTCCCAATCAATGGGCTATTACTGTCTGGCCCATCATAGATATAAAGAAAATCGTAATTTGGTTCTATACTGAAGCTAGAGAACAAAAAAGAGAAATGTCAGATGGAATATGCTTTGCCTAACATTTTCACTCTTATTAGCTTAAATCTGAAATTTACTATCACTGCTTTAATAAAAGGGAAAAAAAAAAATCTCTTCACTGTCAAAAAAAAAGAAAAGGTTTGTAGAAGTGTTTTATTAGCAAACACTGAAATACTACATCTTTTGGTTCACACCTTGGAAACAATAATTTCCTGCTAGCCAGAAAAAAAGGATAGCTTTTTAAATAGAGAAATAGAGAAAAAAAATTAGTAACATATTTCTAAAGGTTTAGAAAAATAAACAGCCGATTGGAATCCTTGGCAGAAATGCTCTATGAGCTTCCAGCCAGAACTAAACACTTTCAGACAGCCAGAGGATGATCTTTAAATATCTCTGAGAGCAAGAAACATTTTGCTTATGGTCAGTTTAAATAAAAATATGAAATATTGAAACCTCACATTTTCTTCCAAACTAAATTATAATTTGTTAACTTAGTTAAATTAAAACTTAATTTTAGTTAATGGCAGAGAGTTAACTAATTTCACTTGTAAGATTGTTCCTGTACAAAAATAAAGTTTTCTAAACAAGTCGTTAATAAAAAAATGAAAATCCAAACAATTTTGTCCCTACTTGACATTAGCCCCTGACTGAAAGAAATGTAGGCATACAAGTCCTGATAGCGCTTCTTTTTAAACTTTTGGATTATTCAAAAAAAAAAAAAAAATTCTTTATAAAAGAAATGCAAAAGTAAAAAGTCAACAGCTTTGATTATTAGAGTGCCATAGTTCATCTTGAGTTTAAAAGGATAAGCTGGAGTAAGTTCCACTCAAAAGACTACTTAACAGTACTTAGTGGAGTATTCAGTGTTTCTCTAGATCAGTCTGTGTGTCATAAATGAGGCAATTCTCAGTTAAGGTGCAATCTACTTTGACCAAGACTAAGTTTCTGAGTTTCTATCAAAGATTCATAGCAACTGACCATATTTTGAGATTTTTTTTTAACTTGGTAGTATTTAAGATCTATAAACTGTTCATAGTATCTGGAGTCACACTGCAAAATACTTTGGTTTTTTTATTCTAAGATGGAGGATCTTATATCTAAATGTAGAATATAAAAAGCAGAATATTTTTAAATATATTGAGCTCATGGTATTAAACCAAATCAACAAAAGATGTGCTAGTACACAATGGAAAGTTTCCTTATCAACTGACAACATTCAGAAATTACCAATAAAATAATTATATTGTAATTATGTAAATATAATTGCGTGATTAATTTCCTTGGGATGAATTAAAGAAAGCATGTACTCTGTTACTGAACACCAAGAATAGACAACTATGTGACCCACCTCTCTAAAGAATTCATCACAATAGCACTGGTCAGAACAATATAGACACCATGATAGAACAACCAGCGTAAGAAGAACTTAAATTTGATGGGACATCACAAGTAACATTTTTACTTTTTCTGTGACATATTTCCTCATTGGGATGCATAATTTTCACACTTAACATATACATTAATTTATATCATGTGTTACATATAGCACAGACAGCAAAAGTTCCTTTGTGAATTCTGTTAAGCTCCATTTAGTCTTGTATTGTGATAAAACAAAATTCTAAAACATTTCCATTTAATAGCCAGAACATCAGGAAGTATCTTGAGTATCCTGAAATTATATGGAATAATAAAACTAAATTTAAAGGCTACTTTTGAAATTTTGCCTAAATAGCAGGTATCCCATACAAATAGATAAATCAATAGTTTCCATCATTAAAGGCCATCCTGGTTTGCAGACATTTCAGTGAGTTATTCCATGCTGCCTTCTCAGGAAATGAATCTTAGTTGAATTGAGCACCATCTACCTCAACATTAGGCAGTGAAAACAGAATCTTTTTAGGGAAACAGCAATGAGCTTGCAAGCTCACCTGTATGTGTATTGATGACTGATGTATTTATTGTAACTTAACAAAGATGAAGATTACTAATCCATTTGATAGTCATATTAAGTATACATATATTACCCTACAGAGATCTGAACAATAATAAAGTTATAAAAATAAAGTCAACAATAAAGTTATAAACATGACTTTTAAAATTACAAATAGCTTACCTGATAAATGCTAATGATATAACATAATCACTATTAACATTGATAGTCCAGTCACAATCTCTGCTGTGGGGATAAGGATGAGGGAAGTTTGGTGAAAGTATAAAACCTGATGAGCCAGTCAGGTTTCCTCCACAGGGAGCTGTGAATAAAAATAGATAGAACTTGAGGAAAGAAGGTAAGAGACAAAGAAGCAAAGTAGCAGCAATCTGTTCACTGACATTTAGTGTCCTCAAAAGTTAAACAAGTGAGGTATTTACAAAGCTGTAATAGAAACAAACAAAAAATATATTCACTTTTTGCCTTAGACAAATACCAATATTGCTATGTGAAACACTTGGTTCTGAAATCTGTGTTCTTTTGCTTGCATAACATTATTTGAAGGTTTTTCTGAATATACTGTGAACTTGAAAAATGCTCTGGCTACACACATAAAAATACTTGACTGGATAAGCTTTCCTATCCCTACTTGTTAAAGGCATTCTAAAAGAACATCCTAGGCTACATGATACTTATATTGATACTGCAATTATCTGCCTTTTCACCAGATAACAGTGATTAATAGTTCAGATCAAGATGGATATAATATAAACTAAATTAAAAAATATTCAAGTAATTTCAGTTTTCAAACTCAGAGATAAATAAAATAGATTTAAGCAAAATCATACTAAAACAACTACATTTTTATATGTGATTTTGAGGTTCCCAAATGTTGTGGGGTTTTGGTCTAGAAAAATAAATTGTGGAAAAGAAGGAAGGAATATTGAAATTTTATTCTTCAGTATCGCATCCGGCCAGAGCTTATCTGTCTCTATCACCTTGGCCTGTGCCAGGAGTGGGTCACACCCCAGGAGCAGGATGACCCGAGGTGTGACTGGAGCTCTTGCTCTACGGCTTTTTGGCTGTCAGTCCGTGCTCTGAGGAGACAAGGATGAGAGGGAGGTCTCTTGCATGGGATAACAGAGGATTTATTGCTCTGGGGAATCTTGGGGGCAAAAGACAGAAAATGTGGGCATGCAACAGCTGAAATAAGGAGGTGGTTCAAAGGGAGGGTACAAAGCATCAACTAATCAGAGATATCCTGGGGAGGGTAAAAGGCAGGGTTCACAAAATCATCATCCAATGAGGGAGGTAGGGGGGGAAATTGGGTCACATGGACTAATCAAGCGTTGAAGTTTAGGGGATTTCTGAAGTGGAATTCCAAGCATGCGGTGGGCCTAAAACAGATTGACAGGAGACCCAGGGGACATTGACAATGTGGGGTGGGTTTGGACCAAACGATCAACTCAGGCAATAACAGAACATACCATTAACAAGAAACACACTGAAACACTTCAGCATACAAGAATATAGATAATAATCAGGTTTTCACTGATCCAGCCTCTCTGGATCCCTCTGCAGATCCTTCCTACCCTCCAACAGATCAACACTCTAGCACAACTTAGTGACACCTGAAAACAGAGTTTGCTCAATCGTCTCATCCAGATCACCAGTGAAAACATTAAACAGGCCTGGCTCCAGTACTGAGCCTGGGGAAACACCACTGGTGACTGGCCACCAACTGGATGTAACTGCATTCACCCTGACTCTCTGGGCCCAGTCATCCAGTCAGTAGCTGCCCAGTGAAGAGTTCACCTCTCCAACCTATGAAGTCAGTTTCTCCTTGAGAGTGACGTGAAATAGTGTCAAACACTTTACTAACCTCTAGATAGTTAACATGCCCTGAGCAGGTGTCCTTGTCATACAAGGAGATCAGGTTGCTCATGCAGAACCTGCCTTTTATAAATCAATGGCATCTGGGCCTGATCCCCTGGTTGTTCTGTATTTGCTGTGTGATTGCACTCAAGATGGTTTGTACAGATAAAGATGATATATACAGGTATAATTCAACCTACTGGGAAGTATACAGGTATTTCCTAATATCATGAGAAATACTGCATCCAGCTCTGGGGCATCCAGCACAAGAAAGACATTGACCCTTTGGAGAGAGTCCAGAGGAGGGATAATCAGGGAGATGGAACACCTCTCTTATGAAAACAGTCTGAGAGAGTCGGGATTGCTCTGTCTGGAGAAGAGAAGGCTACAGGAGAACTTATGACACCTTTCAGTGCCTAAAGAGGGCCTACAAGAGAGCAGGAGGGTTTTTTTTCACAAGGCCATTCAGCAATAGGACAAAGGGAAAGTATTTTAAACTTAAGGGAAGGTTTAGATCAGGTTTTCGGAAGAAATTCCTTACTTGGGAGTGTGGTGAGACTTGGAGCATGTTGTCCATGAAATTTTTGTATGCCTGTCTCTAGAACTGTTCAAGTTCAGGCTGCATGGGGCTTTGAGTAATTTGGTCTAATGGAAAGCATCCCTGACATGGCAGGAGGGTGGGAATTAGATAGTCCAACCCAAACCATTCTGTGAATCTATGCTCCTCTGAATTAAATCACTGGTCATTTATGGATTCAAGTAAAGCAAGCAGAATACTTAAGCAGATTAGCACAGCCACAGTCACAGTTTGTATGAGTATAGTCTTTCTACATTTTACATATCTATTTATATTAAAAGGGAGCAAAATTAACTCAAAACCAAAAAAAACCCCAAAATTAGAATCTTCATTTACATTTTGGTATTAAAATTGGTGATGGATCAGAATTATCATTTTGTGTAGAAAGAGAAGACACCTGGCTTTAGGAACACAATAATATCACAAATTAATAATACTAGCAAATGCATAAAATATATATTCCAGACATAGCACAATTTGTTTTGCTTTTTTTGATAACCACAAAATGCAATTTGTATCACAATAGGATTTTCCCAGATGTTTAGAGTTTTTAGATAATGTTCCATTAGCTCAAGGGAACAGACAAGAGAAAGTTCATTTAGTGTGAAACATTTACTTAGTTTCACAATAAGGATAATAATTGCAATTTTTCCATCTTCAAAAAAATCGTATTGGTTCTAATTAAAAGCACCTGCCATTGAATTTACCTTTGTCACAATTTTGAAATGAGTAAAATGAAATTATTACGAAACAATACACGTATATTAATTATAAAAGAGTTCACTGGAACTTTCTGTAAGCTTGCTGAAGTAAAACTTCATGTAAAAAAGGAACTGTGAGTTTGTGTGGAATGTAAAGACTGCTCATCAGCTGGAACTAATGTTCTTCAGTATAACCCTGTACATTCCTCTTTTTCAAGTACTTTAATGGTTTAGGCTGTACTCTCTGCATATCCTAGGAATGAAAATGTGAAGAATACCAAAGAGGATATTTAGGTTATTCATTGTAATCAGGCTTCACTGACATGATCACTCAACTGTATGAGTCTGATATTTTTAAAGTGGCAAATGATGCAAGGAATTTGAATACTATGTCGTTGTTCTAGACTAAATTCTGCCAATCTCTGCATTCATAATACTTTTCTGAGGGCTTGATTTAATTTAGTTCTCCGGTAGTTCATTGATTTTCATATTAGTAACTTCCTTCTTATTATGTTCTTTGTTTACAAACATTAGCAGTTACCTTTGCTGTTCACAGTGTTTCCATTTAATCCTTCTCAAGGATGGTCAAAAAGGGAATAAATGGAAATTACACTAAGATAGACAGCCACAATATATTTTATTTCGTGATATGCCATTAACAGCAGTTAAAAAAATAATAAAAAAGTAATCTTCAACTTTGCAAAATATGTCCCAGATAGAATTTTCTTCAGATAGAATTGTTTCAGACTATTTTAATTCTCAGTTAATAAAATAGTAAATTGAGAATATTAATATAATCTAATGAAAAATGTTATTAGATTATGTTTCCTTTTCGGGTTTACTATCTTCTCTAAACTTAGTTATAGACTTTCTTTCTCTGTGGGTTTTAATTAAATTCTTATGTGTTTCAGAATCCATAATTTTCTGAATTTAAGGTCTAGAAAGTTATTATTGCCATAACCTTATTTTTAACTGAGTACAGACCAGCTCTGCAAACAAAGTTTAAAGAACACCTTTTACAGTATTAGACATTAGAGGTAAGACTGATCAAATATAACAGCCCATGTAGAAAGAAAGGCAAATGTCAAAACACTATGAAAAATATATATTTTTTATGTGTTACACAGTAAAAACTAGATGTAGGTTATGTGAGCCTTACTTTATAAACCTCTGCATAGACACAGTGGTAAGCAAGCACTGAGCCTTACTGTCTCTGTGCTGATCTCAGCATTCACTTTTTCTATGTAAGGAAGTATAGATTGGGGTGTTTTTTATTTAAACTCTATTTTATTTATCTAGGAGGCAACAGAATCTTATTCCAGTTTTCTGCCTTTATTTATTTATTTGTTCACCGAATTACTTCTTAAGAAAAGAAACAGAATGCATGGTTTAATTTATTTTTTCTTGCTTTTTTTTTTTTTTTTTTCTTTTAAGACATATTAAATAAAGAATTGTTTGAGTTCGAATGGAATTTTAAATATCACCTAGCTCAACCCCTCTGTGATGACCAGGGACATCTTCAAATAGATGAGGTTTCTCAGAACCCTGCCCAATCAGACCTAGAATGCTTCCAGGAATGGAATAAAAACACTTCTCTGGGCAACCTGCTTCAGTGCTTTACCACCCTCACTGTAAAAAATTTCTTCCGAATATCTAATATGAAGATGACTTTCAATAATCATAAAGAAATATGAAAAACTTCTGAAATTATACTTCATATTGGTTTCATATAGGTCATTTTGAGGAAAGCACCACTAGAACTGTTTACAATAAAACCTTTTTTATGGATATAAATATGAAAAGCAAGACCTTGCCTGAAACAAAACAGTAGAAACAAGCAAAACCAAGCCACAAGAAAAAAAACAAAACAAAAACCTAAGAATTTCTGAAGAAAGCCTGAAACCTCTGGGACACAATCTGTATTTCTCCTAAATGTATAGTTAACCTGAATCCTAAAACGTATTTTTGCATGCCAGATTTTTTTTATGTCATCCCAGAGAAAACTAAGTAAATACACTCACTCAGGATTCTGGTATCTAAGCAGGATTGGATCCAGAAAATTTTTTAAATGGAAAACATGTAGCTATTTTGTGAGGCCCAGGCATAAGCCAAAGGACTGTCTTTTGGCAGAAACATGCTCTCAAATTTAGTTTCTGAGAATACTTTTAGTATAGAAGAGTTTATAATTACTATCATTCAAATACATGAATCATTATTTAATTCTTTGTTATCTTCCCATTACAATTACCTTTGAAATGAAGATGTTCTTAAAATTTTGCAAGGCAAGACTAAGGGAATTAAAAAAACATAATGCACTCTCACAGGTAAGAACAATTTAAAAGGACATTTACCTAGTTTTGAAAATTAATAATTAGGAGGTTTGAAAAGACATTTTGGTGTGTAAAGAACTGATAAAATAGATCTAGAACATGGTACAACTATACTCCTTAGAAATTATTTCTGCTTCTTATTCTTTCATCAAAATTATGTTTCTGTTTTGTCTAGAACTTTGATAAATGATGATGTTGAAGTTATGTGTAAGGTATGTATTGTATAGTTTGGATTTACAGGGATGGAAGCAATATTAATGAATATATTACAAGTTATGAGAAAAAAAAATCAATGAACTTCAGGGTGTACTGAGCTACAACACACGACTTTGAAATCACTTAGCTCTAAGGCAAGGTTGGTACACTCTAGTCTATTAGCAGTTCATATTCCCCAAGAATGCATCATTATAGGAAATCAATAGAGGATAACTTCATGCTTGATATGTGGACAAATAAATCATTATAATAAGCATTCTTGCTACTCTGTATACAGTAGGTATTTTGCATGAAGTGTGGAACTTATGGATGCATGAACCTAAAAAACAAGTGTATGCATATTTAATATGTGCTATGGACAGAACATCAGTTGAGCATGTAAACCTACATTTAATCTATTTTTTAATATCATCAACTCACAATTGATAGTTATTTAAACTGCTAGTACTGCTTTATAATAGGGTAATTACTTTTCAGTTGAGACATATATTTTAGAAACAATATCAAAGCATTATCAAATAATGCCAGCATGATAGATGAATATTTTAACTCTAGGGCTCTGAGCCCCAGAATTCATTTTACTTTTTCACTTAGATATCTACAGATGTTCAGTTACCATTACTATAAAATAGATATTTTGGCATATAAGACTTAGATGAGCAATAAAATATTTCTTTACTGTACTTTTCCAGGAAATAGTCTAGACAGTTCTTGTCTTCAAGCACATAAACTCACATTACACAGGAAGGCATAGCAAGGAGAGTAAGAACAAAGAAAATAATACTTTAACACATTAAGTAGAATAGCCAAGACACCAAGTCAGTACTGTAGTGTTTGCAAACACTTGTCTGAAGATATGCATGAACAGGGTCGGTGATGTGCAAGCATGGATGTGCAAATAGAATGCAGATTTTGTTTGTAACAGGTAAGGTCAAGTTAAGTTTATTAAAGAAAAGAGAATGTTCAAAAGTTGTACAGTGCTCCTTACAGTTGTAATCTCTGGCAAGTTCCTCTCCACAATGTTTGTCCAAGAACAGACTACCAAGATAATAATCATTGACATTGACTTATTTGCTTTCTCTGTGCCAGATCATCAAATCATAAATGAGATGGCCCGGAGAGGGAGAGAATGAGAACTATTATACTAACAACTACAGAGGAAAGGTTCTGGTTATGGCTATCAGAGGTTGATGTAAAATAATTTTTAAAATGTGCACTACATGTATTTTCTTTAAACAAGTTTCAAGAACAGTGTGATTCATTACATAAAGATTTTTATTTTTAGAAAAGCATTATTTAATTTTTTTCTGCATACCTATACAGACTGGTGGGTTTGGCTGCCAGAAGTACCGATTTTCTACCTGAATGCAGGTTATTCTTTCATCTCCTTGAAGTTCATAGCCAGGGTCACACTGAAATATAACAGTGTCTCCAGGTTCTCTTCCATCACCATTTCTAGTCCCATTCATGGGGACACCAGGATCACGACATGCAGTGGCTACAGAACCTAGCAGCAAAGTGAAAAAAATATAAATAAATGTTTGAAAAAAAACCCAACCAGCTTTTCAATCCATATCTTTTTCCCATTTTGTTACATTTTTCTAATCAGGAAGCTCTGCAAATTCAGAATTTTCTTAGTCACTTAAAAAAATGTTGAGAAGTCATCCAACAATCTGCTGCTTTTGTACTATTAATTCTTGCTACCTCCTTTAGTTATTATAAGTGCCTAATTCTTCTTTTAGTTATTTTTTTTTTAAATTCTGTGAAGCACGGCACTATGTAAAAAGGAAAGGAGGAGATTTCTTATTACCCTGGGCATTTTGCACTTTTAACTTCGAGCAATTTTTAATATGAATAAAATTAAAAGCAGATTAAGGTCTTCAGGTTTTCTGATTAAGGTATGCTTGCACACATCTTCAATTCTTCACAATTCTGTAGTTCATAAATATATCTATGGTGTCACACTTAGCCATGACCTTGGAAGTGAATTTCATTGATCACTCATATCTATATACTTGCACATGACCTATCTACACTAGACTTTTGTAGTAGTAATAAAGAAATCACTACAAAAAATACATATGTATTTAGTCTGAGAGAATGTACAGCTATATATAATGTTTAAGTATGAATTATTATTGAGATAAAATACAATCACAATGACTACAAAAAAAGTATAAAAAATGTTAAAGTTATTTTCCTCATGATCAATATAATAAATATATTATGCACAGAAATATGTATGCTTAAGCAAAAAGTACATAAATATTTATTTAATTAAATATTATTTTCTACTAACATTATAGAACTGTAACATGTTATATATATTACAAATAAATACCAAATGTCAGACTTGCCTGTGGAAGTAGTCCCACTGAGCTCAGCAATCTGTGTAACATAAACACAAAGTGGTGGTACTGAGATTTAATTCAGATGCCCTCTTTCTGGGAAGGTAATACCAGCAGACAGCAATCTATTCATCCAAAATGTGTGTGGGTTTTGTATTTCCAATGCTTTTGAAGAGCAGATTTTGGTCTAAACTGTTTATTTCTCTAAAGAGAAACCAAAACTCTCCAAGCACCTTCCTTTCTAAGACATACTTACTAAAAATATAATTGTCTCTTTGCAGCTATTGGGATTTTTATGGGGTTGTTTTTACACATAGGAAGTACTGACTATGGGCAAAAAAATCCCCACAAATAAATCCTCACAAAAAAAACATACAAAAAAGTGTGAACAGAGGGAGAAAATTTTCCTTCTTAGTCTTCAAGGATTAAATACATATTTCTTTTAAATGTTTCATAATAAATGAAATATAATTTTTTTTTATATTATCATGCAATTTATTTACACTTCTGCTTTAGACACTACCATGATTCCTGTTTGTATCTTTAAATGTGCTGCTGGGCTTAAATTTAGAAAAAATATTACTAAAATATGAAATTAATAAATTCACTGCACTGTACTAGCAGGTCTTCCAAACGTTGCATGCAAGACAATGAGATAAGAGCTAGCTTACACTTGAACAAAATTTCATCAAATATAATAAGCTTCAAAAGGTTCTTAATGCAGGTCAGAACTACATGAAAACATCCTTAAGGTAAACTTAGACTGTAGCTAGTAGTAAAGTCAGCACATATATTGATGTGCATCCCTCCCTGCTGAGACCACAGGATGCACTGTAGCTTTTGATTGGCATTGGCCACTCAGAGCAGTGCATATTGGAGAGAAACTGCATTCTGCCCACATTATTATCTACCTTGAATTTTGCCATAAGCAAAAAAAAAAAAAAACCAGTTCTCTGCTTTATCTAAATCATGCAATTCCAGAAGAATGGGAACTGATTCTTACTCAGAATTTGCAATCAATCTTGAAGAGCCAAAGAGAGAAAGATGTTGGTATGAAGCTTATTATTGTCTGTACATCATACTGATCTTACTAGATTGCATCATTCTGAAAAAAAATTGGATATGGCTGAAAAAGAAATTAAGGGGCACATTTAAGGGGGAATTTCTGATACAATCTGTTTGGGTTTTTTAATCACTTAGTAGCATTTATGCAAATTAATTTTATAATATGAGATCTGTGTGCCAAACTTATAACCTTACCCTTATTTGCCCTGTATAGTAGTCATCTTACATGCTTTCATGCTTGCTCAATCCACCTCCTGCTCTTTTGGCTTCGTAGCCAAATTGATGAAGCACGGATTGGATAAGTGGACTATGAAATGGGTGGAAAACAGGTTGGTGTGCCAGGTTCAAAGAGTGTCCATGATCTAAAACCTAGGCAGGAGCTGATTAGCAGCAGTGTCCCTCAGAGGTGGTTGTTGACTTCAATATTCATTAAAGATGGGGGCAATGAGAAAAAGTTAGCTTTTGGCAAGTTTACTGACATTGGATGATCAGTTGATATTCTCTAGTGCAGGGATGCTATTTAAGGACGTCTCAGTAGGCTGGAGAAAAAAACCTGAGAGACACTTCACGAGGTTCTAAAAAGGAAATGCATCCCAAGAAACAATTTACCAGAAAGCAGCATTATGGAAAAAGAATAGAGAAGACAAAAGCTCTTCTAGGAAGCATGTGTGCAGCAAAAGCACAGACACAGAAATCAGAAGATGCAACAAGCAAAACTCCAGCCATATAAAAGAAAATACAGTTTCACTTCAAGTGTGGTCAAACATTTCATTTTTATTTTTTTTACAGAAGGGTTGTTATCTGTTTAACTGTTTCCTGACGAGACAACTGGACTAGAGGTCTCCAGAGAGACTTTCCAACTTAAAGTCTTCCATAAATATTTTTAAACTTTGCAAAGTCACACTAAATACACACAGATCTAATTTAAAAATAAAACCACTACTTTAAGATTGGTTTTTGCATTATAATACTAAAATGCAAAAGAGCTTCTCTACTCCCACTATGTCATAATCTGGGTTTTAAACAGATGATTTCTCGAAGTCTAATTCTCTTTTTTTTTTCTCAGAGTTTGTTCAGCATTTTGCAAGATTCTATTAAAAGTATGAAACCTAAGTGAAGGATTTATGGACTGGTTTTACAGACCAGGTGAGCTTCTCAACAGGCTGATAAAAAATACACTAATTTCTTCTGAATGAATAGGATGTAAGAAGGGGAAATAATGCAGCACACCTTTAAAAGTACTCAATATACTTTGCTTTAGCATAAATAAATATTCTTTTATTATGTTAGATTTACCTAAAATCTGTGGGAAATTTTGCTTCTGTCTTCTCTGTAAAGTGCTACTTAAAGGAAGAGAGAAAAAAGCCTGCATAATATTGCTACTACATGATTTGTGATTTATTTATTCATAAAGTTGCATGACATTATCCTCAGTATCATCATCAAGATAATAAAACAGTGATGAGTTCTTAGTGAAAGCACCCTGTACAGCTACAAAGCTACTAACTTGGAGCACTTAGTGCAATTTTTCACACAGCCTTTGGAGATGTTCTAGGGCAAAAATAAGTAATAGCCTTAGATACGTATGCACACTGGACAATTCAAATACATATACAAGGTTTTTAAACATCATTTACTCTAAATTTTTAACTTATATCTATATAACAACCTGCATTTTTTTTCTTGTTGAAAGAAAGGACTCCAATGTTTTGTGTCTTTCAACGCCATTTCAACATATACACATATTTCCACACAGCATTTCAACAACTGACATTTAGATACCAAATTTAACCTGTTATTTTACTTTGATGGTAAATATAAATGGTGGCAAAGGCTTATGTATATAAATTATGGTAGAACTTAATATATATATACATGTTTGTTTGTAATTTGTTTTTCTTGCATGTCACCATGCTTTGTGGTGGAAGTAAGTGAGCATTACAGAATTCCTAAAAATTACTGTTTCCTTAATCTTCATTTTTTTCCTGTCTAATTCATTTTAAAGAGAATAAACCAGGAGAAGGTATCCAGAGTTCCAAAGCTACTGAGAGATTAAAACATAAATAAATTATTCCGTCATGGTATTTCTGAAAACCACATATCTTGCTTTGTAAGCATATATCTAAATACAACTTGTTTAATTAGGAGTGGGATTAATTTAACTCAATCTTGGCTGTGCACAAGTTAGGTATCTTATTAATTAGCTTGTTCCCCAGATTCCCTCTACAATCAGTATCATAAGGGAGAAACTTTTACTTAAGCTCAACACTTAACATTCACATGCACTGGAACAGAAGGAAACACATGATTTTATTTTTTTTTCTAATGAGACAGAAACAATGTAGTAATTTATATTAAATCTGTAATGTCTGTTTTGAGAATAAATCTGTTGGTAAATTCTATTTTTACTTGTTTGTCATATATTTAGCTCAAAAAGGAGGTGTAATTCTTTTTGGTAAATATGTTTGTCAGACTAAGAAGCCTCAAACACAAATATCTGTTTTTTTTGAGGGAAAAATTAAAAAAAATATTTATGTAAGAAGGAGATTGGAGAAAGAATAGCTCAGTACTGCACGTAATTATAGAATTAATGCATCTTTGGTGAGTTAACATATACTACCCATATATTCAAACTGGATTTCTTAATCACAGATTTCTGACATGTTTTCTGTGTCAAAAGGGTTTTTTTCATGTGCTTGACTCCAGCTCATCATTACTTCTGTTAAAAGCTCAACTCTCTTTGCCTCTTCAGTCTGTTTATTTTTTTAGTATTTCTTTTCATTACCTATCTTCAGCCTAATTTCTTTTCTTTTTTTTAAGTGTCAATACAATTTATGAATTATATATTCTAGTACAAGAAGAGGGGGATTTATTCCTCTTATATATTCAGGCACCTCAATCACTGCCTTCATCATTCCCCATGAAAATTTGTGGAGTAAAGAAAAATTCTGGGAATTATAAAGTTCCTGTTGTCTTTGATAGTTTACCTGCTATCACAATTTCCCATAAGCTCATGTATAAACACTAAAGTTCTTTGTGACATATTAGAGCTGATAAAGGAAGAAAATAATTCCTTGGGTTTTATTCTATTAAA